CAACCATCATGATATAAAAAGTCACTACGTAATACAGTCCTGAACTCTTCAGGTTGAGAAGGACGGAGCAAAAAATCAGGTATCGGTTGGTAGAAGTGAGGATTCCTTCCTCCCATAGTGAAACATTTTTTAGGTTCTGGAAGTGTTTGAGCAACTTGCTTATTTTTCATTTATGTAACTTTCTGTCTTTGCACTTAACTATTCCAACTCAGGTCAATAACAGGAAGTCCCAGGAATCCTGTTACTTCAAGATTTCCAGTCCAATTCTGCAGAACGAAGAGGTGCAAATGATTCAGCTAGTCATGCAAGACCATGAGTGTATACTGAAGCTGAAACTTTGAAAACTTTTGAGATTTACCCATGACTGGAAAAAAGTGGAGAAATGTTATAAATCTAGTCTCTCTTTTAACTGTCTCTGCTTTAATATGAATGTTCCATATATATATTTTTATATATATATATGGAACATTCGTATTAATTAAACCTATCAGATAAAAAGTTTTGAAAGCCTTCCTTGACAAGGATATAAACACACACAATTACATTTTGTCAGTCCTGGGCTATCTCCAACATTGTAATTAGCCCCGCTCCTTATTTTGTACTTTTAGAATTCAGTACCAACAATGTATAGTGTAAGTATCTTATGCTTCATGTGACTTAATCTAAATAAATATTCTCAAATCCTTATAATTAGATTTTTTTATTACACTCTAACTCATTTGCTTGTGTTAACTGGCTGCTTAAAATAAACAATCCTTCACTAAATAGTATATTTTTTTCCACTGGCCCTTACTCTACATTCTTGTCTAGCACACATAGATCAGTTAGAAAAACTAAGTGGGGGTATGTCTGAAGGTTTCAATGTTGATTATTATCCACAATGAACTAGGAAATGTTGGAACATTTCAATTACAGATGGGCCTGAACCAAAACCTTGATTCCAACATATCCAAAACTTTGTGAGTTTTCAGGTATGAACATGGATTTCACATTTGTTCTTTGTCCCATAATAGCTCCATGCAACACCTCAGATCCAAACACCTGCAAATTTTCAAAAACTTTGTGATGTCCCCTGTCTGCATAATAAATTACACCAAGGCCCTGAACATCAACTTTTCAGTTTAACGCAAATAAATTCTAAGAAAAATCATTTCATTTTTAAATGTTATCCAAAATACAGTGCTTAGCTATACACTGTTAAGTTTACCATAACTATTTTTAATACCGCAACACAGTGTGCTGTATAGGACAGTTGTTTCCAACCTTTTAAGATATATGTACAGATTAGCAAACTCAAGCCTTGGTTGTATCAGCCAGAAACATCCGGGTCCTTCTTTCACCTAGAAGGCACCCTAAGTTGAATCACTTCCCCTGAAACTAGTGATTATCTCCTTTTTCGCTAATGAACTTTGGGTTAGTCTCCTATTTAACTGTGTCTGTTTTAACCTGCAGCGAATTTTAGGGTCCTTTCAATCCCAGAATATACCAGATTGCATGAGACTGGAGTTCAAAGGCAGCTCAAACTTCCCTGTGGGTTAGAACATGTATAATGGAAAGTGAGAAAAGTACCAGTGGCCCTTGAGGTCTGACACAGAGGGAGAGCTCTACATTCAGTGAAGTAGGAATGAGGTTCAGGTGGGAACTTTCCAGAGAATGATGGACAGCCAGAAAAGTATCAAGGACACGGAACACGCAGCGTGAACCACATCTACCGAGTCTGAAGGACGATAACCAAATCACACCAAGCCGTGTCCTGTCAAAGCACCTTTGGTGTCAAGGGCTGTAAAGGAAGATTGTGTTCTGAAGGAAGATTATACAAGATTCTGTTCGATTAATACAAAGTAATTCAAGTCATGATGTTTTGCCACACACATTTTCATGAGGCAGGTGGAGCACCTTTTGAATTCTGTTCTCTTCCATTGTTACAGGAGGTGGATCCCTGTTCTGTGACTCAGTTCAAAGAAAAAAGTAAACCCAAAAATAACGTAACACTACCATACTAACATTATACTGTCAGGATTAACATGGAATAGAATGGTTACTAGCATATTCTGTAATCCACTCAGGACGATTGCGTGACTATGGTGGCTAGGAGGAGGGAGAGGAACAGAGGAACATTGGGAGGCAAAATCACTTGCACCCTTGGCTGGAGAATGCTGAATCCAAGGAACATACTTGAATGCCCCTTAAGAGTTTTACAGTTTTACGATTTTTAAGTAGCTCCCCAGAATATATGGCAAGGCACATGGCTTTTACGTTGCAGATCTCCAGAGGCAACATTGTGAAGGAAAACACAAACTGTATTTATTTGCAGACTGAAGCAGGGTTACATATGGAGTATTTCACCTTTGACAAGTACTAACTTCATTTACATTAACACCTGTCTAGACTGTTTTCCTAAGCATAAACATAAAAATCTCCTTAGTGTATTTAGGCTCTTACCTAATTAACCATATGTGACGTAAAGTGATACAGCCCAGTTCAAGGTATGTCATTGTTGATAGGATCAATTACAGTCAGACATCGGTGTTCACTGCTTATACCATCTGTGCAGCACTATTAAGTGCATAACCATGTCAAAGAAAGTATACACAGATTAACTGTATTCTCTTTCATTAAAGAATACCAAACTGGTTTGTCAGCTCTAGGCTTCTACATTCAACAGAAGGCACCTTCTGTTAACAAGCAGCAATAACCCAATGTATATTTGCCTCCTTCTTCCAGTATACTGTGGCTAATGCTAAAACACTGGAAAGATTTAGGATAATATTTGAGATGTTACGTGCTTTAATTCTAGAGCATTACAGAGGCTGAATAGAGGTACTGTACAGCAGCCTTGCAGAAGTCTACTCATCTACTGGCTTGGGGAGTTATAATAGTAGGGCAGAGGAATAAGTTCTATCCCCATGCTGGTAAATTTTTATGAGCATTTCATAAGGCTACTGTGTCTATAGTGCTGGGCTTTCTCCCACTGAATTCAGTCTCATGGTACTTGAGGACGTGAAAACATTTTTAAAAATAGCAGTAATCCATACCCTGAGACTGAAAGGTCTCCAATACTTGTATTGATTTCTCTGCAGCTCTATGAGATTCTTTCAAAAGTTTGTGGGTTTCTTTGTTTGTGTTTCCTTCCTTCTCTTCTCTCCCTACACAATGGCAACCCCAGAATGAGGCATAATGCATACAGACAAATCTAATATTTGTGAAGGGGAAAGTTGCACAACCAATTTAGTTGAGCTAGCTGAATGTTAACTGTAATGGCACAATTAAATGTTGATATTTTGTTTCTAAAGCAGATTTATAATTTGGTGCATGAGTTTTAGGTACAAGGATACTTGTAACAGACCTGTAAGTCTTCTGAGGGGAACTTTACTGGATAGCTACCCCCACATTCCAGTTATTATTTTTTTTAATACTTACCTGTAGGACAGGCAAAACAAAGTCACTAGAGTACAAAAGGAAGTGATTTCAGGAAAACTGTTTTTAGTGTGGGAAAATCCCAATACTACTGAAGTCTGTTTAAGGGCCTGAGAACAGAGTTCAAGAAGCAGGGTGAGTTAGAGCTTACAGCTTTCCTCAGATGTGATGTATCAAGCTGGTGATGGGTACTTCTAGTCAGCTTCTGTCACCAGACCAAGAGAGCAGGGCAGGATGAGAGTTGTAGTCTCAATGGCAACCAGGACTGCAATCTGAGGTTCTATCAAGGTCTGCTGGGAAAGGTGTCTGGTATTTACAGGGAGAATTCCCTCTTCACAGAAGGGTGTGAAATTGAGGGAGCCAGCTAGACTAAGGAGTTCTCCAAGAAGAAAGGACAAAAAAACTAACTTTCAGTTGTTATTGTTTGCTCCTTGTTTTTATATATCTGTGTTTAATTTGGAAAAGACTTTGAGGCACACCCATCTGGGAAGAGTTGTGCCAATTTATGACTGCAAAAGAAAGCACTGGCAGGGGAAGATTTTGTTTGTTTGTTTTTAAATAATTCTATAGACACGTTCTTTAGTTTTGTTTTGCCTGCCACAGATACTACATGCCACCAATGAAGCCTGACTGATGACCTAATATAATGTAAGTTAAGCTAGTGCAAACAGAGTTTACCATCTTTAATTTTATAATGGGAAAAGAAGTTTAAAACAATGAAGTTAAAATTCATGATTAGCATTTTATTTCCTGACAGAAGAGCTGAAAGCCTAGCACACTTGTGGGTGCTATAAAATATTAAATCTTAATAAGGAAAGACTTATTTGAAATTTGGAGGAGGGTCTTTCAAAAATTTTATATTTTGGAACATATTACAAACACTAATAAAAATCTTGTTTACAGAAGCTCTTAAAGCTAAGAAAACATTTTTATGAAGAAAATAAAGCTCTCTTTATCCTCCTTTTCACCCCAGCTATATGGCCATATAAAGTAAACACTCCAAAACACAGCTAATATAAATGGAATTTTTTTTTCTTAAGAGTATTATGAGAAAATGGAAAGGTTAGGGAAGCAAGCAGAAAAATGTCTGAATTTGATTACATGGAATTATTACATTTTTGGCAATTTAAATATTATATATTATAAATGTTATTTTTATATATTAGTTAGTTTTATTGAGCACATGAAAACTGCCAAATGTCTAGGGAAAAGATTTTATCAATCTTTCCCTTCTAGTTATAAACGTACATGTCTGATTGGCTTTTAAACTTGTAGCAAAAGCTTTCTTTGATCAATCCCTAGGGCCCAAGGCAAGGTAACTTCCATAAAGTTCTTACATTTGTTTCCAACAGACTGACCGCTGAAAGAGGGAACACTTTACATACATACACCTCCAGGAGCCAGGACAAATTAAACGAAGTAGATAGGTTTGCTGAATTACAGAACTGAATAAGTGGTTAAAAACAATGTTCTGAAGCTGGCAGAGTTGTCAGGTGAGAATTCCAGCATAGGGCCAAAGAGCCTGCTCAATTTTTGAAGCTTAAAAAGTTATGCAACAGGAAATGTAAAAGTATCTTTTGTACCTTTTTTTATGCCTTCATCTAGTACTTTCAAAATGCAAAGCCATGGCATGTTTGTTTCAGGAAAGACATTTCTTTCTTACATTCCGATCAATCAGATGCACACATCTAAAATAAAAAAAATACCACTATAAAACAAATACTTTTTTGCAGCATTTTGAACATTTCAGTTTCACTTGAAGTTACACACTTGATTCATTTACATCTTTTACATGACACTAAAACAGTGAAGAATCAACAGTGTGTATCACACTTGTGCAGTTTATAAACACAGTGCAGACTCTATCCAGCAGAGGTGATTATGCAGACTTGGGGCTACGTGTGCAGCTTCTACTGAAACTGGCTGGCCGCACACCCGACTACCCCTCCCACCTCCACTAGAGACATGCTAACCTGTAATGTAATGGGAATGAGCAAACAGAAAACTTAATACTCTAGAGCTGTGCAGCTTCTAAAAGGACATCTACACCGCTGAATCTTTTCGGTGGTATGTAGAGTACATACAGTACATGCCCCTCAGCATGGAGATAGCAGTGTAGACAGTAAGGCAGTGCTTAGGTGAGGAGAGTAAGGACATGCCTGAAGTCTGTGAGTATATGGTGTAGGTCACCAAAGCATTGTTTCTCCCATCTACACTGCTATTTTTAACAGTACTGTGTCCCTCTGCCGCCTTCTCCCTCCCAGAGCCTTTCACTGACCTGTGTAGCTACACACCGTAGCATGGACAGAGCCTGCTGTTCACTGCAACATGAAGCTACATGTACCCTACACGCTGCTGCCAGCGGTGTGCAGTGTAGCCCTAGCATTAGTGGGTAGGCACCTCCTTTCATTGTACACACTATGACTTCCTTCTCACTTTAACTCCTGTTAAGATCATGAAGGTTAAAGGAGCTACAGCTGATACTTTTTGGTTCACTGGCAGTTCTAAAAACCCCAAACCAAATCTGAATATTTTCAGAATTTTTTTGCAAACTGAAAAAGTCAACACAGATTTTGTTTTAGGTCATAGAATCATAGAATATCAGGGTTGGAAGGGACCTCAGGAGGTCATCTAGTCCAACCCCCTGCTCAAAGCAGGACCAATCCCCAATTAAATCAAATGAAATGTTTCATTTTGGGGCATTTTTAACCTTTTAAAAATAAAAACAAAGGAAATAAAGGGTTGGATTCACAAAACCAGACGAGGAGGAGCTGCTCTCTTTGGTAGCCTGGTAGCCTCATTATTATGAGACACACCTGGGATGTGGGAGATCCCGTGAGGTTCAAACCCCGACTCTGGAGCAAGGATTTGAAGATCTCCAACCTCCCAGGTAAATGCCGTGACTCCCAGGCCATAGAATCATTCTCACCCTCTTACTGGCCCAGTGTCTATTCAAGTATTTTATACAAAGTGGAACAACTTTAACAAGAGATACAGAAAGTCCATCCCAGAATAGCCAAGAGTCTGATGTTCAAGGCACCCATCTGGAACTGGAGGAGACCTGGGTAAATCTAACCCAAACTACTACAATTTTTTTTTTTTGTCTGAAACTATTTGGCAAATTGGTAAATTGTTTCAGTCATACTGAAACTGCAGTTTTCAGCAAATAAACTATTCAGCCAAAAAAAAATTCCCCAACTCTAATAGGAGCTGGTAGGGCTTTAGTATTCCCAGAGCTGCAGCAATCCACTTGAGTTGCTCCACCAAAGGGATATTCTTACATACAAAGTTTAGGACACAAGGCAAATGAGAATTCTTGGACTTCTTGGAAGACGGTCACTTCTTTTAATTGAAACTTTTTATTATTTATTATAAAGACCCCAAGGAGCTTGCTCCTTACAACCCAGACACAATACTAAAAACATGTGGATACATATTACATGCAATGAGTTAAAATTTCTAATTTCATAACTATCACTATTATCCATAACTAGATTACTTCAGGGAAAATTGCACTAGGCAACTTGAAAAACTCAAGTCTTCATAATTATGAATTGACTTAGCTGTCAAACTAGTTTTACAGCAGATTCATGTGTTCCCCTAATATTTCTAGTATTATATTTTGTAAATATAAAAAAAGTGTGAAACAAGCAATCCAAAGTAGCTTTCAATTACTGAAAAAAGCTTTCTATATTACACAGCTTTCTACAAGAGAGTGAAAGTTGCTAGTTTCCACTTTGTTGATTCATCATGGGTCACAAAACCCATCACAGAAAAAAAAAAAACATTTATTTGAGATAGACAATATCAGGTTGTGGCACTCTGTATCTCAAAGCAGCACCCAAGAACCATGCCATATAATTATGACATATTTCATACAAAGCATGCCATGTCAGATATATGAAAAGTCATGATCTGCTGGAACCCACTGTGACATTACACTCCATATTCTTTATGGAAATATGTTTATGATATAGATATGACATAACGGAGATGTACTTTACGCAAAATAGCTCATGTAAGATATCATTGGAAAGGTTATGATTTACTGAATGTAATTATCCAGTTTGTATGCCTGTATCATTTCTGTATCTGAAGATAGTCAATATTGACTATGTATACAAACCCCATGTATTTCAAATGGGCTACTTTGGGTGTCATCCCCAACTAGCACATCAGGTACAACAATGAGAAAGCCAGACAGGGCTAATGGCCCATTAGCAAAGACAATGGACTGTAAAAGATCTTAGTCTTCCTATGAAGAAAAGGAGTACTTGTGGCACCTTAGAGACTAACCAATTTATTTGAGCATGAGCTTTCGTGAGCTACAGCTCACTTCATCGGATGCATACTGTGGAAACTGCAGAAGACATTATCTACACAGAGACCATGAAACAATACCTCCTCCCACCCCACTGTCCTGCTGGTAATAGCTTATCTAAAGTGATCATCAAGTTTGGCCATTTCCAGCACAAATACAGGTTTTCTCACCCTCCCCCCCCCACATACAAACTCACTCTCCTGCTGGTAATAGCCCATCCAAAGTGACCACTCTCTTTAAAATGTGTATGATAATCGTGGGGCGGGCGGAGGGTGAGAAAACCTGGATTTGTGCTGGAAATGGCCCAGCTTGATGATCACTTTAGATAAGCTATTACCAGCAGGACAGTGGGGTGGGAGGAGGTATTGTTTCATGGTCTCTGTGTAGATAATGTCTTCTGCAGTTTCCACAGTATGCATCCGATGAAGTGAGCTGTAGCTCACGAAAGCTCATGCTCAAATAAATTGGTTAGTCTCTAAGGTGCCACAAGTACTCCTTTTCTTTTTGTGAATACAGACTAACACGGCTGTTCCTCTGAAACCAGTCTTCCTATGGATGCTCGAGACAGCCTACAAGTAATGGCTGCCGCAGCACTGCAGAAACATGAGTCCAAGTCACCTGGTACTGGACATCCCTCCTCCCCTTTTGGAATGCCAGTGTTCATCCACTGGGAGACAAAGGGTTCCCGCCTTACAAAAGAGCTATACAAGGCATGGGAGTGACATCATTGTGGTTCTCCTCTGCCTCCCCACCCAAAGAGACACTGAAAAACATCTGGAAGCAAGAGCTGAACTGGGGGAAAAAAGGGTTCGGCCCAAGCTGGAAGGGTGTCTAGCTTGTGAGTAATAATACCTGAGGTCTCAAGCTGCAGACCAGTTCAGCCACCTTTCAAGACTTTCTGTAAATCTGCTTGTAACAATATCTAGGGTGAGAAATTACTGTTTGTAATCAATTTCTTTAGTGAAATAAGCTTAGTTTGTGTGTTTTATTTGCTTAGTAATATGCTTTGCTCTGTTTGCTATCTCTTTAACCACTTAAAATCTACCTTTTATAGTAAATACATTTGTTTTGTTTATTATTAAACCCTGTTTCTGTAGTTTCTAACTGGGGGTGGAGGCAAGAAGTTGTGCATAACTTCCTCCACACTGAGGGAGGGGCGAATTTATTAACATGCATTGTATAGATTTCTCTACAGTGCAAGACAATATACCTTTGGGTCTGCACTCCAAAGGAGGTGCACACCTGCAGGCTGGAGCAAGTCCCTCAAAATGAGTCTTCCCAGAGCTGATCTCAGTCTCTATGTTGTTCTGCAGTTAGGTGTGGCCCTGCCTGTGTGTGTGTGTGTGCTGGAGGAGGCTTAAGAGCCTGGCTCTGCAAGACAGGTAAAAAGGGGGGCCACGGTGGCAGAACAGGAGGGCTCAGTGGTATCCCAGCACATTAGATGGCATTTTAAAGGGGGCAACCCGTCACACCCACTGTCCTGTCCAAATATGTATATCATTAGTGTGTATAAAGTTATGAGATTTTACTGTTACTGAAATATGTTGCAAATTTGGGAGTCTCCCACTGCTTCCTCTCCAGTAACAACAAAGGAGGTGATCCACACCCAGGTGGGTGTTAAATGACCATTAATGAGCAGGAGAGTTGTAAACAAGGGATCTACAATTCTGTAAGAGAGTTGCACAAGCGTCACACAATGGGGGACTGCTCAATTCTGTGATTCAGCAAAGACGACCAGAACATGTCTCGGTTAGTGTTTTCCAGGCACATGGACTGAGGATATAGAATCATAGAATATCAGGATTGGAAGGGACCTCAGGAGGTCATCTAGTCCAACCCCCTGCTCAAAGCAGGACCAATCCCCAATTAAATCATCCCAGCCAGGGCTTTGTCAAGCCTGACCTTTAAAACTTCTAAGGAAGGAGATTCTACCACCTCCCTAGGTAACGCATTCCAGTGTTTCACCACCCTCCTAGTGAAAAAGATTTTTCCTAATATCCAACCTAAACCTCCCCCACTGCAACTTGAGACCATTACTCCTTGTCCTGTCCTCTTCTACCACTGAGAATAGTCTAGAACCATCCTCTCTGCAACCACCTCTCAGGTAGTTGAAAGCAGCTATCAAATCCCCCCTCATTCTTCTCTTCTGCAGACTAAACAATCCCAGTTCCCTCAGCCTCTCCTCAGAAGTCATGTGTTCCAGACCCCTAATCATTTTTGTTGCCCTTTGCTGGACTCTCTCCAATTTATCCACATCCTTCTTGTAGTGTGGGGCCCAAAACTGGACACAGTACTCCAGATGAGGCCTCACCAATGGCGAATAGAGGGGAACGATCACGTCCCTCGATCTGCTTGCTATGCCCCTAC